TAAATTCTTATCTTTTTATGAAAGTTAATATTATTTACAAGGCTTTTACTGGATTCTTCTAGGATTGGAAGATAACACACATAGAGGTATTAAAAAAATAAAGCCAGATAGTTCCACAATGTCTCCTAAATTCTATACATCATCGAGCTTAACTTCCTCGAAGACTTCAAATGAAAACATCTTTAGCAACAGTCACAATTATAAACTAAGCTTACAACAGATACACTAACTTACAGTAACTTCTGGTTGTAAACTTTGTGTATTATCTAATTCTCAGTGAATTCCCAACTAACCAAATTATATGCTTTTGAATTTTTCAATCTTTGTTTACAGATTACCTTATATAGCTGAGCTGTTAACATTTTATTCACATTTCTTATTTAAGCAACATTAGAGATTTCAACTTTTCTTCAAGAAAGATCCAACATTGATGTCCAAACTATGTATATCAATCATATATGTCCATTAACAACATTTACTGGGCAAACTTGCAATGGATGATTACAAAAATATTCAGTGAGTATGAACATTATAGATGCAAGTACCATCTTTTATCACCATAAAAAAGAAATCATTCACCTAACTATAATTTCATGTGCTATTATACAATGATATTATAATTATTTTCCCTTACTCATTTCAGCAATTAAATCTCTATTTTTCTGATACAAACTTTAGACCATTGATCTGTAAAGGTTACTTCAAAAAAAATACAGCAACAGATAGGAACGACAATATTTTGCTTTATTTTATTACAAGTTACAGCTTTTACAGTAAGGAAGATTATTTTTAAGACAGGTATGACATTTCAATCACTGGTGCAATCATTCTCAAGTTTTAAGTCGACTTTTGTCAATTAGTTCCCCTCCCATTAGGGTTTCCATGGGATAAAATGTGAAAGTTTCATTATAATTCCTGTGGCTCCAGAAGCAGTTTAGTGGCCTTTGATAACAGTTTGTCCATAAAATGATCATCACCTGCACTTGAGAATGATCACACTAGTGATCAAAACATTGTACTTGTCTTAAAAAATATTCTTTATTCCTGTAAAAACTGTAACTTATAATATTTATAATCACTAAGTAATCTCAAAATGAAACTATTAATGATATTTTACTTTGTTTGATCCAAGATAATTAAATTGGTGTAGCCAATGACTTACATGTTTTTGTAAGTTATCTTCTCTTTGTTTGGCATCTTCAAGATACTTTTCTATCTCTTTCTCTAATTCAGAAATCTTACCACGCAAGTTCTGACAATCTTGGCGAGTAGTGTTTAACTTCCTTTCTACATTTTCTAGGGCTTTGTCCTTCAGTTCAAGCTGAAAATATGGCACAAGTTTACAAATTGTAATTATTTCCTAAGTTACTTTTTGTTTGGATATTTTTTATCTCAATATAAACAGTATATTTCATGAAAATAAAGATGCAATGTTAGCATAATTTTCATAATGTGTTAATGGATTTTGTGCAATTTACAACTGTAAGTGTATATTTTATATAATGCATATATATTTTTTGGTTGATATTCATGTGTGCCACATTAACTGCTGGAATTTAATTTGTTTGAGAACTTTCAGTATTCTCTATTTAATTCAAACTGTAATAAATATTAGAAAAAGTTATTTTATGCTTTCTACTTAAGACTGTAATAGCATATATTTAATTATTTAGATCAGTATAAGATACTCTTCAAACTAAGTTTTCCTTGTACTAAAATCATGCTGGATAAATTTCAGCTCTTGTAGAAATCATGCTGGTTCCTGTCTCTGTTCTGTTAATATTATATTGGATTACATTTTATTTGAATCCTGTAAATGTATGCTGGATCTGGATCAACGCTTGTTAAAACCATGCTGATTTAAGTTTTATTTTTGTTGAAACCATCCTCAATCAAGTAACAATCTTGATAAAGTCATTGGAGATCAAGCATTATCCTTGTTAAAATCATTCTGGACAAAGTTAACTCTTGTTAAGATCATTGGGGATCAAGCATTATCCTTGTTAAAATCATCTTGGAAAAATTCTACTCCTGTTAAAGTCACACTGAATCAAGCATTATTCTTGTTAAAAAGATTCTGTACTAAGTTTACTATTGTTAAAGTCACACTGAATCAGACTATTCTTGTTAAAAACATGCAGGACCATATTTACTCCTGTTAAAGTCACACTCAGTCAAGCATTATCCTTGTTAAAAACAAGGTGGACAAAGTTTACGTCTGTTAGTCACACTGAATCCTACTGTCCTTGTTATAAACATGCTGGACCAAGTTTACTCCTGTTAAAGTCACACTGAATCAGAATATCCTTGATAAAAAACATGCTGGACAAAGTTTACTCCTGCTAAAGTCACATTGAATCAGACTATCCTTGATAAAAACATGCTGGACAAAGTTTACTCCTATTAAAGTCACACTGAATCAGCCTATTCTTGTTTAAAATATGCTGGACCAAGTTTACTCCTGTTAAAGTAGTCCTAGATCAAGAATTATTTTTGTTAACCCTGCATCAGTCTTCCAGGGTCTTCACGGATCCCAAATATTTTGTAAACAATGGTGCTGACAGATAGAAGCACGTACATGTTTGCTCTTCTCAGTAATTTCATTATTTGGCTAGTTTGTGTTAAATTGCTACACTTAGTTTAGATGGTAAAAAAAAGAAACAAGCTGTAATATTCAATATTCATTTATTGATTAATAAAGAAAAAATAATTGAGTGTTGGTGTTTTTGTTTACAAAATAATATTTTATTATTATCTAAATATTTTTAAATTAATTTTTATGATGGTGTCTGCTCAGACCCTGGAAAAGAAGACTAATGCAGAGTTAAAAACAAGCTGGACAATGTTTGCTCCTGTTAAAGTTACACTGAATCATACTATCCTTGATAAAAACAAGCTGGACAATGTTTGCTCCTGTTAAAGTTACACTGAATCATACTTTATCCTTATTATACTTACTCTGGTGTATCCATAATTAAAAAAATACTAGATCTCTCATCACATTTTTTTAAGATTTGAAAATTCCCTAAATTACACACATTTATAAACAGACAAATAAGATTAAACAGCCTACTTGACAATTATACTTCATAAAAAATGTGTAGCAAAAATATTGTTTCATATGGAATATCTTCATATCTGACAGACCAATGTTCTATCTAAAAATAAATTGCTTCATTATGTTTATAAATCATTGCTTGCCAACTTATTACTAAACAAGCAAATAGCAGAAAAAAACAAAAATAGTTTTCATTAACCTAGTTCTGTCAACATGAACATAGTGTCCATGTGTCAGTAAAAACCAATTAAACCAGTTATATGAATTTTCACTACAAACAAACCCATAAATATTTCACAGTTGTGTGTATGAGCTTACATTAAAAACAAACTCACAAGTACTGCACACAGGAAATTAAGTTGTGTGTATGAACTGATACAACAAAGAAACCTATGAGCACACAGAAAAGTAACTTGTTTGTACAAATGACAATACAAGCAAACCCATGAGTACTGCACACAGAAATTAAGTTGTTTGTATGAATTGACACTACAAACAAATTCATGAGTATTGCACACAGAAAATTAAGTTGTTTGTGTGAACTTACATTATAAACAAACCCACAAGTATTGAAAACAGGTAATTAAGTTGTTTGTAGGAATTTGCACTATAATCAAACCCACGAGTATTGAAAACAGGTAATTAAGTTGTTTGTAGGAATTTGCACTATAATCAAACCCATAAGTATTAAGTAGTGCACACAGAAAATTAAGTTGTGTGTATGAGGTTACATTAAAAACAAACTCACAAGTACTGCACACAGGAAATTAAGTTGCTTGTACGAACTTACACTATAAACAAATTTACAAATACTGCATATAGGAAATTAAGTTATTTAAGGAATTTATAATACAAACAAACCCTCAAGTATTTTATACAGGAGATTAAGTTGTTTGTAAGAACTTAAACCAGAAACAAACCCACGAGTACTGCACATAGGAAATTAAGCTATTTGCAGGAACTTACACTACAAATGAACCCACGAGTATTGTACATATAAAATTAATTTGTCTGTATAAACTGACACTACAAACAAACTCACAAGTATTGCACACAGAAAATTAATTTGTCTGTATGAACTTACACTACAAACCCATGAGTACTGCATACAGAGATGTTGTAATCATATGTTCTACTGAACTTAAAGAGACTTACTTCTTTAAATGATACCTGGAGATGATTCTGCAGTTGTTCAAGAAGAATCTCCTTAGCCATAGCCTTAAAAATAAAAGATTTAAGTATTTAATTCTGATGTGCAACAGGCATACACTGAAACCAAGATCATACAAAAAGAGAGAGAGAAAGATAAAAAAGATAATAGATTAAAAGTACCAGCAGCTAACATTGGTTCATTTTATCAAAGGTGTAATTTGTTTACCTCACAGAAGAATAAAATTACCATCAACTTGTGCTTGTTATTTACAATAACCAAGAAAATTTATAACAGAAAGCTCTTGAAGGTAAAAGTTAAATATTACTATCATATAGACATAAGCATGCAAACAATAAACCAATCTTAGACTGAGCATTTAGATGGAATAAACAAGATAATTTCTTTAATACGTTGTTTTCATTCTTTCATTAACTTAAAAAAGGATGAAAAGTATATCAAATTAAATGTGAATAATATACATAGAGCTTTCAAATCTGAAAAACTTTAGTATTTGGATAAACACTACAAAGAAAAAACACTGGAACTATGTGTACAGTTCAGTAGCATTATTCAATCATTAATAAAACAAGTAATAAGCATGTCCACACACAGAACTAAAAGTAAAGCTTGAAGCAAGTGTCATAAACAAAAATATCAAAAAGATGTGGATTCTTCTATATTCCTGTAAATTTAATATCACATAATAACAGGTGAAGAAAACAGAAATAGTCAGTCAATATTTGGAAAACTGGATGTAATACTCTATCACTTTATAATGACAATGATGTTACTATATCTACTATTTTCAACAAAAACTAAGGTTTAAATTCATTTTTATTGACAACAGTAATTTTCTTTATACGTAAATTAGTGAAGTCAATTTCATAAAAAAAATCCTTTTCAATAAAACTTACAGGTGATTTAAAAATTCCAAATTAAAATTTAGATTTGCAGCTTATGTACTATAAAGAAATTGGTGGCAATCTCTATAACATTTAGTACAAATCCTTTGCTCACCTTATCCTCAGCTTTTCTAAGTTGATCCTTCAGTTTTTGTACAAAATGCTGAACTTCAGAGTGATCACTATTATAATGTAGTGATGCAACATTTTGGTTATCAACGGGCTAATAATAATAATAAAATCACCATCAGAAATCATTTACAAGCAAATAACATCTTAAAACAAATTAACATACACTCTGATTAGATTTCTTTAAAGACAATCTCAAATGCTAATAATGAAACCTTGCTTCTTATTCCTATTCTACACCTTGGTGGATAAACTGTGGTAAAGAAAAGTATTTCTTCTTAACAAAATCAGAATGTGTTATAATTATGCTAATATATCTTAAGGCAGATTAAACATATTTTTGAACAAACAGTGTTTGTGTCACAAATGTAGGTTCTAAGAGTGGTTTTGTAACATATACACTTTTAGTCCTTTTCATTACATTTAATCCAAATATTATATGATCCAGTTGACACACCAGACAACCTACTGTGCCATATGAAAGAATTATGATAATTTCAACTGAATTAGTAGAAGCAAGAAGTACTAGACAAAAAAGCATGGCTGCTATTCAAATGTTTTAAAAACAGCTTTCAGTATATAATGTTTATATTAAAGTATACACAAAACAGTCAATACTGAACAAAATTTCATTCTTATCATCATAATCATAAACAAGATACAATTTTGTTTTCCACAAACATACACAGGTCTTCTAGAAACATCCTCCAACTTGACCATTCAACACCTAGATCAATTTACATTGTGTGTATTTACTTATATACCCATACTTACTTGATACTGTATAACTGTTTAAAAAGCTTTTCTACATTAAACAGCCTATAATGTATTACACCCTAAACATTGGTTACAAAAACAATCTATAGAGAAGAACCTGCTTGACACAATTAATTTCAAGCTGTGGTCATTTTATGTACCATTTCAAATTAGAACACCCTGAAAAATGCCCAGACTTTATACCATTAACTACTGCAGACTTTTTTGTAGGACAAAAGAAAACTTTATTCCGAATTAAACATTTCCCTGTAGTTGTTAGAAGTACTATCAAGGTCAACAACTAGGTATGCTTACAAGCAAACTCACAATACTGGACGGTATTACAAAGCATAAAATAGTGGTGATTTTGGAATTCGTTAAGCCTTAAGTTATTACTTTTTCTAAAATAATATGTGAAATATATAAAAAGTAACATATTTTTTATATTCCCCTGGCAGTTTGTCAAATAATTGAGTGTACCTAGCACAACAGGTAAACTTGCATGGTATGCACACACACACACACACACACACAGTTTTACATAACTAATTCAGACTTAGCTTCAATAATACACTCACCTGTTAAGGTCTGGAAATGAAGCAACGTAGTTTTTTTACATATTTAATTCAGTCCTAGTTTCAACAATACTCTCAGCTGTTAAGTCTGGGAATGAGGCACATTAGTTTAACACAACTAACTCAGTCCTATTTTCAACAATACAATCACCTGTTAAGTATGGCACATAAGTTTTATACAACTAATTCAGACCTCGTTTCAACAATACACTCACCTGGTAAGTCTGGGAATGGAGCACAGTAGTTTCCAAGGGATTCTGATCAGGTGACTGGACAAGGATAGGTTCATCACTTAGAAAATGATTGTTTGGTTGTATTTCACAATGATTAAAAATACCTGTACCTTCATTTGTCTTACAAAACTTTGACTCTGTTTTTAACTCAGTCTGAGATGACTGTGTTTCTGTAATTATTTCAGACTGAGAAAACTGGTTTTTTTTGTTTATCTTAGTCTGAGATGAAGAAGTATTGATTTCAGGAGATAGATCTGTCTGAGATGAAGAAGACAGAATTTCAGGAGGTATGTTTGTTTGACATGATGACTGGATTTTAGGATTTGAGTTTGTCTGACATGAAGAAGTCTGGATTTCAGGAATTATATTTGCCTGAGATGAAGAAGACAGAACTTCAGGAGGTTTGTTTGTCTGGGATGACGAAGACTGTACTTCAGGAGGTATGTCTGTCTGAGATGAAGAAGACAGGACTTCAGGAAGTGTGTTTGTCTGTAATGATGAAGACTGGACTTCAGGGGGTATGTCTGTCTGAGATGATGAAGTATTGATTTCAGGAGATAGGTTTGTTGGAGATAAAGAAATCTGAACTTCAGGAGTTATGTCTGTCTGAGATGAAGGCTGGATTTTAGAATTTGAGTTTGTCCAACATGAAATTTGGACATCAGGAATTATATTTGTTTGAGATGATGAAGAGTGAACTTCGGGAGATATGTTTGTCTGAAAAGAAGAAGTGGGTACTTCAAAAGTTTCCTTCTCTTGAGCAGAATGAACATTTGAATTATTGTCAGCATGTGAAATGCTATAGTTTTCAGATAAAGTGTTTATCTGTGATGAAAAACACTTGACTTCGTTACAGGAACCAGTTTGAAAAACATGTCTTTTTGTAATTTCTTCACTGTGTTGTTTACCAAAATTATCAGGAAATGTTATAACAGCATATGATGATGAAACAGGAAGAAGAGCATCTTGTGCCTTCTCTTCCTGACAATTAGGTTCTTCTTCAATTGGTTCCAAAGTGCGTGAGAAACAATCAACAAATCCATCTAGTTCGGGACTATCCTGCCTTAGATGATAAGGTAATGAAGTGGACAACGTTTCATCTACATCCACATAATTTGGATTCACAGTCACAGCTGAAGAACCACATCGTCCACATATAAGCATCACGTGATCCAGGGTAACTTTATCCTTTTCCTTGTGGTTGACCGGGTCATTATCCTCAGTTGAAAATAATATTTCAGTTTGTGTTGAAGCATATTTTATATGTAAGCAATTTTGTAGCTCTGTTGGAAAGTTCTGTATAGATGCCATTTCATTATTGCATACATCACAAAACTTACCCATGGTCTGGGATGAAACAGATTTAGACATTAATTTGGTTTGAGAAGCATTTTCAACTTTACTGTTTGATAGCTGTAGGGGTAATAAAGGACTACTTATTTGACAAGCTTCATCCTTCAGTATCTTTGCAAGTGTGTCCTTTACGATAATATCAGTTTGTGCTCCTGAATGCATCTTCCTGGTGGTCATACATTTTTGAGCATCTGGGTTTGGTGTTACATATGAGCACTCTGTGTCTCCAATTGGAGAACTTGCATGATTACAAGGAAGAGCATAATAGTCACCCGATGAACATGTACACACACCACAACCTTTTACTCTTATGCATGAATGGCTGCTATTTCTGACATAATGTTCTTCAGTAACTGACGACTCCTGTGGCAACGAATGTTCACGACACATGGAAGGAAGAGACTGCGTTCCCCAAGAAGGGCTGGAAGTAATAACTGTATACTCGGGATGGGAGGAACAGCAGCTGTGATAACCCCTTCCAGATGCACGAGACTGTGAGAACAACAGCTACTTTTTATATATTCTCTTTTAATTTATGACTTTTAATGCTAAAAAACATTGTGCAATGTTCCGTTCTACCTTAACAAAAACCTTTTTTGGAAAGTCCTTATAATTTTCATTAAATTTTTCGAAAGAAGATAAAAAATAAAATGTTTAGTGTTTTCAATAACTAAACATAAAAAAAATTAACATAAATATGTTAATTTTAGTAGGTTTACATTTTAAATACTAAAATGGATGTTTCAGGAATAGCCCTTTCTTCATACTGCAATCAACATTTATAAAAGCTTTCCAAGGAAAGGCTGAATAAAATTAAAAGCCATTTTTCCTATTAATATTGTTATATGTTCAATTAACAATGTTTTAAATTTCAAATGCATAAAAATTTGAAAACTTTTACAACTTTGATTTTACCACAGCAAAAAGATGTACAACAAACAAGAAATCTTATTTGTTTTGACATGTAAAGACTTAATTACATTAATAACACAAGACAGTTATATTTTTTAAATAAAATCACATTAAGGTGTCTGAACAAATGAAATTTTTAAACTTGAAAAACCACTTTAAAAGACTCGACAATATTTCTATAGCACTTATTCTTTTAGAACTAAGATTATGTGGATTGTATTTTACCTAAAGAAATCTTCAACATACAAACTACATCAATTCCATCATCACACCATGATATTACATGCTTTAAGTTTTCATTTATGGTGTAACATGCATGGAATATCACCATTTGATATTACTGTTTTTTAAACTTAAAATTAAAAAGTATATATTAAATATTTTAAGCTACTGAATAATAATGCAGACAACAATAGGCAGAATGATGTCAAATATCAACAAGATTTTTTTTCACATACTGATGTATTTCCCTCTGTTGCTAGCTTAAGTTGGATACAAGCAAGTTGCCTGTAAGCAAGATCTGTTTACAAGTAACAGAAATTAGGCTAAATTATTATATTAACATAATTTAATTGCTGTCCTGATAAAATGTTTATGCTTTATTGGTTAACTCTATTGATGCTTCTATTTTTTCTTTATGTTTTTCTGGGAAAGTAACATGAAACTGATTGGAATTAAACATCAGAAAATTTAAAGAAAGAGATATTATTTGTGATCTTCCTTATTGGATGTGAATAAATCAAAAACAACGAAAATTTTCATTTCAGTTTTCAACTGATACAACTCAGCCTTAAGTTTATTCTCTGCAGTTTTACTGTAAAATACAAAACTTCTAAAAAATTAAGTCCCATTATCAATATGAAAATAATAAGAATACACACAGATTTAAGAAAGTTTTCTAAAGTTCATAAATATGTTAGGATTAATACAAAAGGTTGAGGAGTACATTATATCAAAACAATTTTAAATAAGTAAATCAGCAGGTCACATAATAATCACAGCTAGTATAAAGTTGTAGTGGAATGGTATATATTAGTTACAATTTGACATTTAATTGGTTTATTCATAAATTTTTTGGAATTTAGTAAATAAAAGTAATACATAATTTAAACCACAATTATTTATTTCTGCAAAAACAAAGAAATTTTTCTACATATTTCAACAAAATTTGTTTAGCTCATCATATGGCAAAATGAAAATGGCTAAATTTTGTGAAGATACACTTATCACATTGAAAGTTAGAGTATAATTAGTTTCAGAGTTACGTGGTGGTTGAAAACGTCACTCAAAATGGTCGAGTCCTTATTTGGAGAGTTAATGTTATTAAAACACAAAGGAATATGAATCAGCTAGTGACAAGTCATACCCTAGCCATGGTAAGTAAAGTGAAACATTTTGTAAAAGATGAGAGTCCATGAACAGACAGGTGAGTAACAAAAGCCATCCACATGCTCCAGGCAACAGTATTCAATGTAATCAAGAAGAATTTCCATCTAGAGATGATACCAACAAGGTATGGATTCACCAAGTATTCACTCATACCTTTCATTCAACCATCACATACTTTATACAGCTAAAGAATAAAATGGGTATTCATGATATTCCATATGAGGACATACTGGTCAAGTTGCTTATGGATGTCTATGCAATTGTACTGTTTAAATGGGCACTGGAAAAAATAGTCTTCAGAAACGAGATGGATTATGGAAAGCTAAGCAGGGAGAAGTGGTGTGTTTTGGATATGATACCTTAATATGACAGTCTTTTCCAATGGAAACTACATTGCAGGGCTATTGTCAAGATTCATGGTAGTCAGATATAGCATGAATGAATGTGGTAACATGGACTGCAACAATGTGATGCAGCTCCAAAATCATTTTAATATAAAGTACTCAAATTCTTTATTGTTATTAAGCTATTATCATTATAAAATAAACATTTAAAGAAACTAATATTTAAACAGTTTAAATACTTATTTTAAAACCATGTTTTATAACAGTTTTTTGTCAGACTTTTACCTTATTTTGCTTTAGCCAAAACTCTAGGTCCAGAAGATGACGTTCACACTCGGCACTCCTTACAGTAAGTTCATGGTTAAGTGCTGTGATTTGGGCTTCCAAACTGGCAATAAGTCTATCTTTTTCTAAAAGCTGAAAACATTAATATATATATATGTAAATTAAAGTGTTGTACATAAAGGTGTTATATTTTTATTAATACTTTTCTAAAGATTGTTGTACTTAGCCTAATAATACATTAGTTCAAGAAATTTCACAAAAAATAGCTGATACTTTTGTTATAATAAAATTAAATTTGGAGCATATTAACTAGATAACTTAATACTCAAATTTTGACATTTCTAATAGATTAAGCTGATAATAGTGGGCTGTCAGTATGAACATCAAAGTTATTTTCTCATTGTGAAATTTACACTATTCTAATTACAAGCTTTAAATAAACTTAACTAATAAGTGTAAGCAACAGTAATGAACAAATAGTACTTATCTTTCTGTCTGAAAGTCCTCAAATATTAAACTTTTGTCTTTTACAGTTGGATAGCTGAAACCATAATCATATGTATCAAAGCGACTTTTAGCATGGATCACTAACAAATTGTCCAGCTTCTCACAGGTGTAAATGAAGTGATAACATTTTACAGGTATTACTTCTACTGTTTTAGGTTTTTTGCTAAACATTTTAAAGAAAGATGCTTTAAAGTGGAAAAACCTAATAATTTGAGCATTTCAAACAGTAAATGTTTTTCTTCAGGAATGATTACTTCTTAAAGTAGGTAGGTCTACTTTTTGCAAGTAGGGTTTCCTTTGGACTTTAAATTTCTTTTATCATCACTTTCAATTTTTTGAAACAAATTTTTATATTTGTATGTATGTGTATTGATGTAACTAAAAAAAACTCATAATATTTTCATTTAATAAATTTTTATTAGCAATAATTCAAACATTAAATTGTTAAAATATTTTACATTACATAATGATTATATAATTCTTCTATGTAAAAACTGCAATATAAAAATTATGATCAATTAATATCATGTTTTTACTTAAATCATTTTGCAATATTTATTTAATGGAACTTATGAAGTGAGATGAAAAAAATGTTTAGTTAACATTTGTTTTAACCCTTTTGAGACGGGTCATGGGTGAAAGGCCATGTCATCTCATTTGTTGACTCGCATTTAAAATTTTATTGAACTAGTATTTCATACATTTATGTCAATAATTTTTCTATCAAACTGTAAATTATTATTCAAATTTTAGTACTATATATATTACTCAATTTCTTAATTTAAAATCAAATATTAAAAAACACAAATAAACATCGATTTTTGTGTGTCACATGGTATGTTGAATGCAGCACTGGTTCAAATTAGACGTTTATGAAGTCATAATATAAGTCTATAGTTTCGTACGAATTAGAAACTCAAATTACCAATATTGACAAGCAAGAAGATAAAATAAGAGCTTTTTATCTTTTTAATTTGCTAAGATATTACTCATGTAATAATTCAAACACAGTGGCACCCCACCCACCTCTTTCTATATTTGGAAAGGCTCCCTTATATACACTTACTTCTATATATGACATCAATAACTAATTGGAAGCTCAGAATATCCCCTAGTGGCTTTCTCAGCCATTTTAACAGGCTTGGTGCCATTTCTCTCTTTTGAACCAATACTTCAACGAGGTAGGTTGTCTTTAGTCTGCTCAATATTTAATTTTTTAGACTAAAATACATCTTATGACTTTTTAGTTATTCAAATTTATATATAAAACCTAAAAAAAATTATTTTGTTTCATATCCTCCACATGCAAATTTTTTAAAGGCTTAGCAACCTATGTTAAGCAGCAACTGAGTACAAAGGTTGAAACTAGAAGAGATAATTGTTTGCTTTACTTCTTTAGTTACTGTTCTATGTTTTAAGAAAAATAAGTTTAAGAATTTATTTCAAAATAGCAATAATCTATATGCATATAT